TCTCTTTCTCTGCTAATTTTATGTTAGCCTTTCCAGTGATTCTGTATTGGCCCTCTACCCCCACTTTTTTGCTAACCCTAGATGATACTATCAACTCGCATATCTTCAGTTCCCACCCATGCACTTCCAAATTCTAAATGTATACTTTATCCTAGATGTGTCTCCAGAGCACCGAACATCCACATCCAACTAGGTATTGAATACCTCCATTTGAATTCCCAAAGATTCCACAAACTCTATATATCTACAATTTTATCATAATCTTATGTTGAAAAAAATTTCCCCCTAATACATCCAATATTTTGGTAAATTACATAGCTCTTGTTTATGTATTTTAAGTACTTTCTTATTTCTAACACTGTACATAATGTAATATGTTCACACAGTTATCAAAACCAGAAATCAAGGAATAATTTGACTTCCCCTTTCTCATCCTCCCCATTCAAGCTCTATAAATTCTATCTCCATGTTATATCTTAGTTATGTCCTCTCCCCTTTTTCATCTCTACTGCCGTTGCTATATTCCAACTTCCCATTATTTCTTACTCAGTTTGCAACCCTTTTGGTTGATGTCTCTGTTTTCCCTTTTGTCCCTCCCTTATTGACAACTCTTGCTCCAAGAGCGAATACAAAAAAGCAAACTTGATCATGTCACTTAGTTAAAATCCCTCATTGGCTTCTATAGACTTAAAAGTAACACTGGGGACACCATCCATCTCTTACCTAGTGACATGATTAATTTCAGAGTTGCATCAAGGCCTTTTATGCATTCTTATCCAGAGTTCATTCAGGTCTGTTTTTAGAACTGAGAGCCAAAATCAGAATGGGAGGAGAAAGAGGAACTGACATTCCTTGAACTCTGCCAAGGGCTTCACTTACTTTTTCTCCCTAATTTACTCCTTCCAACAAGTGTAAAATCACTACCCCATGTTATAAATAGAAGACTTGAAAACTAGAAAGGTTAAGTGTCAGCTAAATTTATACCATTAGTAAGTAATGGAGAGTCATTCTGACTCTAATCCCTAGAGCCCCCTAAATCATGTGATGATTAAATAGATCTGCTGTATTTGTATATTTATTTCAAAGCATGCAGAATATTCAAACACAAGACAACCAGCAGTTGCTGAATGATATTTTATTAGCTTAATAATTTGGGCCTGCCCTTAGCATTAATAAGCTTCAGCACTAGTCGCATGGTTTCCATTTACTGGTGGGAAAATGTTCTTGTTTTAAAAAATACAATTAGAGAAGGGCATCTACTTCTTGGAGGCTGCAGTGACAGCAGGCTTCTCTTCACGGGTGATGGGAATGGTACGCTCAGGGCCCAAGGCCTGTTTCCTTGGTCCATTCACCGTGAGGACCCCATCAGATGACAGGGAGGAAGTAATGGTGAGAGGGTCCACATCAGCAGGGATTCGGTACTTCCTTTGGAACTCCCGGGAGATGAAGCCGTGTTCATCCTAATCCAAGAGATTGAGGACAAAAGGAGAGAGCTAAGAACAGGAATAGTACCACTTGTCTAGAACTCAGACTCCTTCCTCAGAGGTGTGACCAAATGTTATGGCAACATAAGAGAAAAATATTTTGTTGGGGGCTAAGACGAAGCTGACCAGGTGATCATTCATATCAGTATGAGTCTGGAAAGTCTGAAATAGCCCCAGACTTCATAATTCTTCAAACCCTCAGTTGTGGATATGTTTAGGAGTATTTCGCAAAGGTTTAAATCAGTGCTTGTTGGGACTACAGGATTTGGAATCTCATTCAGCATGGAAGATGTGAATCCCTCAGATTGTCCTAACTCCTCAGGAATGTCTCAGAATGCTACAGATCAATAGAATAGTTCCCTATAGTTCCCCATCTAGGGAAACTATGACCCAAATTTAAATCATAAATCATAAAACTGAAACAGTCTGAGGACATCAGACTATAATGCATGATGTACAAAATTCTGTTATTTTGAATTGATGAGAAGCAAACTCATTTAAAAGCCCTCCCAGAAAGAAGCTTTTCTGTTCACAATTTCCTCATAGTAGTTGATCCTAACATTTATACTTGCTGAATGTCAAGCATTTATTCAGACAGACTCTCAATGATCTGATTCCCACATGGGCTAGCAGAACCAGGGTACCAAGGTGAACTCTGAAACTTAGGCAGTCCAAGTGGTTCAGCATTAAGTTCCCTAGGGAGCTTTTAAATGCTTATGCCCGGGTTCCAGCTCCTGAAAATTCTAATTTTGTTGATCTGAGATCATCCTTGCATTGAGGTTTTTAAAACTTTCTTTGGTGATCGTGTATTGTGACCAAGGTTAGTGACAGCACTAGCAACCACTGGCTTAAATAAGGCATGAGCATCACTTCTATCCCATGAAAACAGATCAAATCAAACACCCAAGGCTACTTCTCTGACCAACTAGAGCAACAGCTCTGTCCCTAATTCAGTCTTCTAGCCACTGATTTGTAGCCCTTGATTCAGACCCTTAGAACTGGAATGGTGCCAGCCTCAGAGACTGGTCTCAGTGTCTGGCATATTAGTGTGCACTGAATGAATGGGCAGAAATGAAAACAAGTGGCTTACCTGGCGCTCTTCATGTTTGCCGTGCACCTCAATCACGTCTCCCAGCACTTTGACCTTGAGTTCCTCCGGGGAGAAGTGCTTCACATCCAGGTTGACAGAGAATCTGTCCTTCTCCAGACGCATCTAGGTGGAGGAGAGAGGATAGCAGAAAAGATGGTGAGAATGTGGATTATCCTGGTGTAGTCTCATCATTCTATAGATTTGCTTTCTTTCCAGATAGCTCAAAGCTTTCTATCCTCTTTTCAGCTTAAAGTCCTTTTTTGAATAAACGTGGCTCTCTAGTTCAGGGGAGGCCCTGCAGTGGCACCCAAGGCATACTGCTTGGACAGCAGGCTCAAACTTTAGGTACAAGGAAGAAGACAGGCCACCCAAGGGGGCCAGTCACCAGGATGAGTCTGGGGATGACTTCTGCTGCCTCTTCAACCCCAGCGCCTGGCCTTGTCAGTTGTCTGTGAGACAAAGGCCCCTTCTTCTTGCTCATGTCTCTGCCAAGTTTCCCACCCACTCAATCTGGAATGTTCTGCTAGCCCTGATTGTCCTTCCAAAGCCCTTGCCCACTCAGCTCCTGTTTACTCACACTTGCATATTTTTAAACCAGAGTATTATCTGTGACAGCTTCTATCAACCTTATCTGTTTGACTACATTCTTCCACCATCTCAGAACAAGCAGGGGTCCCAAGACTGGCCTTACATTCTTTCCTCCTAAGGCTTGGACCCAAGCCAGGCCCTGTCACAGCCCTGAAAAACCTGGAAGATCATTGCAGCGGGGAAGAGAAAGGAAGAAAATAGTGGGTTGCTACTCCAGCTTCAGCCAGCGGGGATGAAAACTCAGAATAAGGTAGGACTGCCTCCTGGCAATGAAACTCAGGTGATAAAAATTGCCAGGAGAATGAGGTAGTAAAAAAGGTGAGCAAGGAGTCTGAAGGCAGCCTTTTCCCTGTAGATAATAAACCAAACCAGAAAGGGGCATCCTACTAATAAGGTAGGGGACAGAGGATGATCTTCAGATAACATGGAAAGCATTAGATAACATGAAGCAAAGATAACATGAATCAGAATTAGGAGCACCAAATGCAAACAGGTGCTGGGGAGGAAGGCATAGTCACCTCATCTTTCCTCACTGGCGGATACCTAAGCACTCAGACATAGTCAGATACAGGGGGGAGGAAAAGCAGAACAAATGGAGATGTTTCCAGGAAGTTCCAGGAAGAATTCCCCTGTCCTGGCAGAAGGGAGACTTACCTCTGAGAAGCCTGTGTCAATCCAGCTGGATGGCCGCAGGAAGGAGGGCAGCCGAAAGTAGAAGGGGCTCATGGAAGTAGAAGTTGGGAAGAGGTCAGACTCCAGCAGGTGCTCTCCGAAGAACTGGTCGAAGAGGCGGCTGGGGGAGTGGAAAGGAAAGAAGGGGCGGCGGATCCAGGGGTGGTGGATGGCGATGTCCATGGTGGCTAGGTGAGTGTTGGGTGTCAGCTGGCTAGTCAGCTTCTTCAACTGCAGCTACAGCCAGCCCCTTATATACACAGTCTTGTGAAGCTTCTGGAATGGTGATGTCAGGGGTTTTATTATCCCAGCTCACTGCCAGTCCATGGAGACTTGTGATTGGGGATTTGGCAGTGTGACACATACCCAGTACTCACTGAGCTAAGAAAAGAGAAACACAAACGCGTCTTAGCTGGCCAGTGACTTGTCCTGGTCTTGTTTCACTGGCTTTCTGTCCACACCCACTGGCATCCCCCACCCCTTTCTCTGGGTCTGGGACAGAGTCAGGAATCCCAAGCAGGCGGGGTGCTGGGCCCCTCCTCTTCTCCAGCTTGCCAGGGGAATTGGGCCAGGGACTATCTTGGGCCTGGGAAGGAACTGGAATCTTCCTAGGCTGGGCCCCAGGGACATTAACCCTTTGTGAGTACCTGGGGGAAAGCAGTGATCACCAACATTCAGTGCCAGACTGCTGTGCAGCACCCTGGGCTGAGCTGAGTTCAGGAAAGGACCCTGACATTGATCTGGGTATGAAGACCCCCTAAACATGCACACCCCTCTTCTCAAAGAAAGCAGAATGTTTCTTGCATCTTTCACCTAATGTGGTTGGCAGAACATTCAATCCAGGAGAGTTTTGTGAGGTAGGGTGCAGGGTGCCTGGGACAGGGGAGAAGAAAAGATGGTGTGGGAAATGTGCAAACTGCCAGCTAGGCCTCGCCAGGGTCTCAGGCACCAGCTTCCCTTGCCCAGCTCGCTCCCCAGCCTGGGCCTCAGCTGTCCCCTTGGCCCCCAGCAACAGCTGAAGGGCGTGTGGGGGGAGGGCAGGTAGGAAATGAGGGGGGGTCCGTGCACTGCCCTCACACAGTCATCGCTGGCGCTCAGGGCTGGGCTCCTCGCCCCTCCTCCCCCAAGCTAGGCACTATTTTGGGTGGTGTAGACCCCGCCCCCACCTCTGACCAAGCCTGGGCTCTCCAGGCAGCTGGAGGGGTCCCGCGGAGCCTGTTGGGGCAGTAAGTTCGACCAGGGCCACCTACGCATCTGCAGCCATGTCGGGCCGCTCGGTGCCACATGCCCACCCAGCCACCGCGGAGTATGAATTTGCCAACCCCAGCCGCCTGGGTGAGCAGCGCTTCGGAGAAGGTATTTCACAGACGCCACCTCCCAGCTTCCCACCCCCACCTCCCGAAATTCTGGGCAGGTCTCCCAACCGGGCTGGCCACTACCCCACTCCGGGCTTAACTGAACTCTTGGGCCAAGCTCTCTCCCACCCCAGACTGCCGGCCACCCCCAGCAAGCTGGGCGCCTTCCCCTTCTTTTGACCTCAATGCAGGCTTGGTGGTGCCCTAGCCGCTCTGATGCCTGCCCCCTGGCCCCTCGCAGCTCGCAGCTCGCAGGCTAGCTCCCAAACCCGCTTTGCTCTCCACCACTGCTGCCCTCTCATTTCCTTTCTCAGTCCCCTATGCCCAGCTGCCTCCTCCTAACCTCCTGCCTCCCCTTCTTGGCTTCTCCAGACACCCCTCTGTGGGTCCCTCCCTCCCTCCTGCTCTCCCTAGCGCTCTTCTGCTCTCCTTTCACTCCTGTTCCCACCTTATCCTACCTGGTGCCTTCTCTCTCTCTACCCCTCAGGCCTCCTGCCAGAAGAGATCCTGACCCCCACTCTCTACCATGGCTACTATGTGCGGCCCCGGGTCACCCGAGCTGGGGAGGGCAGTAGGGCAGGGGCCTCGGAGCTCAGGCTCAGTGAGGGCAAGTTCCAAGCTTTTCTGGATGTGAGCCACTTTACCCCAGATGAGGTGACTGTGAGGACTGTGGATAACCTGCTGGAAGTGTCTGCCCGCCACCCCCAGCGCCTGGACCGCCATGGCTTCGTCTCCAGAGAGTTCTGCCGCACCTATGTCCTGCCTGCTGACGTCGACCCCTGGCGGGTCCGCGCCGCCCTCTCCCACGATGGCATCCTTAACCTGGAGGCGCCTCGGGGTGGCAGGCATTTGGACACAGAGGTCAATGAGGTGCACATCTCCCTGCTCTCTGCGCCTCCTGACCCAGAGGAAGAGGAGGAGGGCACCAGAGTCGAGGCCTGAGTGCTACAGACCTGGCACCCAAGGGAATCCTGAATCCCAGCGGTGATGTGGGCAGCTGCCCACCACCCCAGAGGGAGCAGCATCCTTGGGGGGAGGGAGAGGGCATGGTCCACAATGTGTGGTTTGGTCCTTTGGGACATGCATTTTTGGCTTAGTTTGGTTTAGTTCTGGGTGGATGTGAATAAACCCAAATCTCAGGGCTTTGTTTGTGCTGCTCCCTATTCTGTGACCTGGAGGATGGCATGAGCAGGGAGGGAGGAGGTCACACCACCTAAACAAAAAGCTCCTCAGATGTGCCCACGTCACAGCACCCCAGCTCGCACTTGGATGCTGAGATCACACCCTGAAGCTGACACTGGCTCCAGACCAAATTCCTACCCATAGTTTTCTCACCGTGCAACAAAAGAGAGCATGATCCTGGGAGGGAAAAGGGATATGCCATCCAAACATCCCAGAGAACAGTCTGAGCTGGTGATTAGAGACACAAAGACAAGGGTCTCCAGACTGTCTGACCTGTTTGGAGCAGGGGTTGGGAAAATAGTTTTTAGTTGGAGGGAGTTACCTAAAGCCCTGTTTTCCCATACTAAGGTCGGTCTGCTGAAAATGGTGTCTGATTCTGAGGGACAGGGTGTGTATACACTGGGGCACAGGCACAATCTCTGCCATTGTCACCAAACCCCAAAGTCTCCCCACCATCTGCACAGGAGAGGCCGTGGAAAGAAAGTGTTGGAAAGTCTCTAATCTTGGAATATCCCAAAGAGAGGGAACACTGCAACCCCTCACTCATTTCAAGACTAAATGCAAGTGATCAGGGCTCTTGGTGATGACAAGAAACTTCCTTTGAAATACAGTTTTATTTTTTTTTTTTTTTTAATAGAGGCATGTTTTATTTATTTATTTATTTATTTGTTTGTTTTGTTTATACATGCACTGGGTACAGTCAGAAGCGCGGGAGGGTGAGAGAATTCACCAGAGCCAGAGCGGGGAGCAGAGCAGGCAGAAGGACCGAAGTACACTGCTGAGGGGAGCAGCGGGCGGCAGGAGAGGTCTGCGCGCCATGAGGGACCCTCCTCTGGTGGCCGGGGAGCAGCCGGGGATCGAACCGGCACCGCAGAGGCCGCGGGCAGCTTCGCAACCCAGCGCTCAACCGCTGCGCCACCGGGGAGGCCCCTGAAATACAGTTTTAATACTAGGAGTACTGTGTGTACAGAAAAATCTGGGTCTCTGACCCCTCACCCCTCAATTACTTTATATTCATGAGAGCATGCTTGTGTATGATTTCAGGAGTGTCCAGAAGAACTTCCTGCCCCCAAATAAATATTTCACCAGGCTGGGGGAATCCTGAAATTCTCCTAGAAAGTGGTTGACTTTTGGGGGTTTCAGACCCATTTGAAAATCTGACAAAAGTTATAGATCTTCTTACCAAAAAATACACAGACATTCCCAAGTTGGACATGGATCTGTAGACCCCCATGGATAAGAATCCTCAGTTGCCAAATGTAGTTTTTGGTTAAAGAATTATTGTCTGTTAAAAGTGAACATGCTTTAAAAAAATAAGGATTGATATATTCCTTTGCTTATTCATTCAACAAATATTGTCAAATCCCAAGTAAATTATTGGAGATATATATATATTGTCTTTTATTGTCTAATCTCAAGAATCTATAATATCTAATTGAGGATAAAAAGAACTTTAAAAGGACTCTTGTTTAGATTTAACCCAGAACAGCTTCATATTGATATGTTTTGTAAGTGAGGTTTTTAACATAAGTTGTTTTTGGTTTTTTTTTTTTTTTTTAAAGAAAGGATTTCTTAGCTAGGAATTTTTTTTTTAAATGTCTGATTTAATTCAAATCCCCTACTCCATTTAAGTACTTTTTAGATATCAGTCAATTTCTGGACATTTTGAGTGATAAAGAACTTAGAACTTCATAAAGTAGCCTAATTCTTTCTCCTTTTGTATATATCAATTACAAATTCTTCCTTCTATTAAATAAAAATCTGCATCTCAGTAACTTCTGCCTGTATGTCCAGAAAATAAATGTAATCTTTCCTTAATGTCTAGCCTCTTAAAAGTAAATACCATCCTATTTTCTTAAGTCTTCCCTTTCCCAACTAACCATACCTTTTCTTTTCATCAGACAATTTTCTCTGGAACACATTGCCTTTTGACAGTATCACTTGAAATTCATCTTTAGACCTAAAATTGTTATTCTAGCCATGGAACTGGCTATTACCAATTTCAATAATAATTGAATAATAAGTGCCTTGTTTATCACCCGAGGCTTCTGTTAATGCTATTTCAGGTGTGTCAGGTTTTCTGTCTATCATACACCTTTGGTTCCTTTGGAGTTTCTGGTCATATAAATTTTATTAGGTGTTTTCCTTTAAATCAGAGAGGATGTGGCTGGAAAGAGACCACATTATAGATGGCTTCGAGTGCCAGATTTAGAAGTCTGGGTAACAGGATGAAAAGAATCAGCTAATGGTAGAGTACAGAATGGATTTGCAGGGAGAAGCACACACTTGTGCAATAATCCAGCACAAGATAATAAAGGAAGATGTTTTACCGTCTGACAATTCATTAGGAACAAAAAGTAATAACACTTGCTAAAACTTTCTGAGCGCTTCCTATCTGTCAAGTCCTAGAGTAGTGCTTTCTATGCGTTATCTCATTTAATCTTCACCACAACCCTTTTCATAAGGAAAGGAGATGGGAAGGAGCAAAGAGTCCAGGGTGTACTCTGTGGAATGCAGAGCTGAATACTGCTTGGGTGCTGAGCAGCCACAAGGCTCATACAATACTGGAAATGAGAATAAGATGGAATGAAAACACTGAAGACAAGCCTTTTGGGTTTCCTAATTCTCCCCAAGTCCATATTTTCTACAGAGAAATTAGCTTGACTACATCTTAGTTGCTGGTGAGTGTGGAAGGAATCTGACTTGGGATCACTGGAAGGAGAAGCTGAGTTGATGGGTAAGTAGAGTTTCTGAAGGTCTGTACTGGGGATGGGGAAGTGAGTGGTTTAGAAGTGCTGAAGCATCGTAATTGTCGAATCATATGATTTTTGACCAGAAAATGGATTACATAATGAGTCCGGTCCTCCATTTTACAATTCTAGAAAAAAGTTTGCCCACATTTATTCCACTATCCAAAAGGAATTCATTTTCCTAAATCTTAATTTCCAGGAGAGTCCAGTATTCAAACCCAGAGTCTGACAGGGACAAGAAGAAACTGATACTGATTGTCTTGAAAGTGAAACTCAAGCCTGACCAGTGCTGGGCAGGCATCAGGTGGGACTCTCAATATTATAGCGAGTATATTTCAATGACAGTGTGAGGAAGCAGAGAACCCCTTCCCAAGGAAACCCAGAGCCCCTTTCTCTCTTAGGTTGCTTTTCATTGAAGCCTGAGGCCCAAAGTCTCCAGTTTCTTCAAAGCAGCTCCAAATTCCGAAGGTGAGATAACGCACCTGGAGCCAGTGTGTGTTCCTCTACCCTTTGGCTAGGAGGAGTCACCTGGGAATCCTTCCAGCAGGTGGCTTCCAAAGTCCAACCTGCTGGGTTGAAACCTGACACTTGACAGACTCCGCGGGAGCTGCCACAGAAAGTGGAACCAGGAACCAGGAAATGCTGAAGCCTCTTTACATAGAAAAACAGCCAGGCTCCCTCCGAATCAGAGCGCCATGGGAAACGGGCTGTGCTGTGGGGGAAGCTGGTGAGTAGGGGCAAAGGGTGAGGGTAACGTCTCTGCCAGTGGACTTGGAGGTTGGAGAATAAGAGAGAACCTGCAAATGGCTCCTGGTCAGTCATCCTCCCACTACCTTCTTTCTAACCTGGTGTGTCTGGTGCCCATACCACAGCAGCACCTCCTTCTGTGCGCGCTCCTTTCAGGAGACCTTAGAAAACACAGCCATGTCAGCTTTCTGAAGAATGACCAGAGCAGGGCTGGATAGTCGATTTTCATTATTTCTCTTTGTGCTTGTCACCCTTTCCTTTTAGCATTTGAGAGCTTAGTATATGCTGGAGCAATTTTTAAATCTTATTTAATTTTTCCAACAATTCCATGAGGTATGTGGTCTTACCCCTCCTCCTGTTATACAGTGCAACAGCCCAGAAACTCAGGCTCAGAGACATTACCTTGTCCACGGTCACATGACTAGTAAGCAAATAACCCAGATTCCAATCCAGGCCTGTCAAATAGTGCCTTTCAGATCAAGCAAATCCTATTTAGAGAACTGTTTATTTCAAAAGGGCAAAAATGGGGAGGAGCATATCCATGGAATATTTGAATATAATTTTCACACTTAATGGCTGCGTGACCTTAGGCAAATCCTGTAACTTCTCTTTCTATTCATTATAAAATATTGATGATATGACCCACATTGTTTAAATCACAGATTTAAAGAGCAAAAGATATGTGACAATCTCACAATAAATTATTTGGTGTATCTTTATTGTTCTTTCTCAGAGTTATCACTATAAACCTCTGGTTTATCTCATCCACAGCCTTCATAGTCATTCATGCCTAGGTTAACCTTAAGGATGACTCGTTTATGATGAAATCATCTTCATATGTAGAGAGAAAGGTGAGGTACATTAGAACAGTACCTATGATTCAGAGTCAGTATATTGGATTCAAGACATACCCCTACTACTCTTCCATGTATCTAACCATTCATTTCCTAAACAAATATTTTATTGAACACCTAGGTGGAATAGGCATAGTGATAAATGTAGAATAGATAGTAATAATAGCAAGTTCTGTCCACGCTTCCTTGAGTAAGATACCAAAGTTCTAGGGCCTTAATTGACCCAATTGTAAAATGGGAACAATAATATGTTTCCTGGGATGACATGAGAATTTAAAAAAAGCAATTTTTTAAAACTCTGAAAAGTCCTACTGACTCATGATATCTAGAAACATATAGAAGCTTCTAGAGACAGTATAACAGCTTTTTTTCCCCATTCCCTTTCAAATCTAGAAACATATAGAAGCTTCTAGAGACAGTATAACAGCTTTTTTTCCCATTCCCTTTCTTTCTTTCTTTCTTTTTTTAAAGATTTATTTATACAAGAACTGGGGTACAGGTCAGAGGCGAGGGAGAGTGAGAGAATTCACCAGAGACAGAACAGGCAGACAGACTGAAGACACTGCTGAGGAGAGCAGCGGGCAAGGCAGGAGAGGTCTGCCCCACCATGTGGGTTTCTCCCTGGGCCTGCTGCGGACAGCTTGACAGTGGGGTGCTCAACCCGCTGCGCCTCCAGGGAGGCCCCCCATTCCCTTTCTTTCCAAGTCCCCTTCTTCTTTAGTTTTGGCCAGTTTTTCCTCTGATGGAGGTCAGCCATTACTGACAAAGATTAAATACTCACCACCGTGCTAAGTAATTTACTTTTACTGTTTGATGTAATTCCTACAATAACCCCGTGAGATTTAGTTTCTATATCCTCATTTTATTTTTAAGAAAATGAGAAAAATTATAAATTTGCAAAGGTCACACAACAAGTTTGATGTCTGTCTGACTCCACGGCTGTGGCTAGAAAAGACACCAGATATTCTAACCAAATTATTTTTTTTTCTCCTCATGATCCCAGTAAACTTCCAGAGACCTCAAAATACTGTGACAATTGAAAAAATATTTAAAAATATTTTTATGAAATATTTTAAGTATGAAAGTAATATACTTCCACTGTAGAAATTATGGAAAATACCAAAGAGCAGAAACTAAGAAGGAACCATAACTATAAACACGCAAAGGTACAGAAACATTTTGGTATATTTCCATGTAACCCTTTAATATAATTCCATGTATAGTTTTTGCCCCCAGATATCTTAGCTTTTAATTAATTAAATAAAAGTAAAATTTTCCACACTCAGAGTTTTTTGAGAGCTTGTTTGGAGGTTCTAGCAGGAGAGCATACCCTTGACTTAAGAACTGTCTCTGCAGAAGGCTGCTCTCTTCCACCAAGCGCAGCATAGGGAGCAGTGAGGGAGGAGGGGAACAACTGCCTAGCTGGCCAGATTATCAGGAAAAATCCTGGTGATGAGTGGGGTGACATGTCGTAACTACATTGTCATCATATCCCCAACATCTTTCTTAAATGGATATTGATTAAATGTTTCATTGATGAGCTATACCAGTTACTGATGTTGGACATTTGAGATATTTCCTAATTGGGGCAATTATAATCATTGCTACAGTGAGCATGTTATTTCTGCTGATATGAAAATGCTATAACGTAGCATGTGCCCATTTATGTTTAAGGCTGCTTATACTTATTGCCCATTGTATTCTAGAAAGGTTGCACCAACTTTTATTCCTACTACCAATGTAGGAGAGTACCCATTTAGTTTCCTTAACTCTGAGCTAAAAATAAAATCCTACCACCTACAAATCATATTGTATATGCCACTGGGACTGTGTCCAAGCATTGTGCAATATTCAACATTGGGAACAGACTCTGTTCACTAAGGTTGAGTAACCCATGTCTATGCTATTTTAGAATTAATATTCTCTTTATCCACTTAAGTAGATGTAAGTAGGAAGACAATAGTGACATGAGGCAAGGAGTTAGAGGCTAGGATAAGGCTATGACTAGGCAACAATAAGAGATAGGAAGAGATGAAGTGGTAGAAGAGAAAGTAGAAAGATCCAGGGATAGTTTCAAAGGTTTTTTCTGAACCACCTGTAGAATTCAGATGGAGGCGGTTACAGTTCTCAGTATAATGTGTCTCAACTCAGCAATCTGCGATAAACTCAAAAATCCAAACTAAAACACAAATCCCTGTCAGATGTGTGGAAAAATTCCATAGTAGTGAAATGAACATGATTTACAACTCTCTCCCTCTCATTAGCAAAAGAAGAAAACTTCCATCAGGAGACGTAAATCAGACAAATATGGTTGGCTCTGGTGACAGTTGGAAATGTACCAGCAAGAAAAAGAATGGGAAGTAAGTCCTAAACTATGCTGCCTGTTTCCTTAGACAAGTGTTGTCTCTGTGACCATCAAAGAGTTGATAATCACATAGACACACTCCATTGGGACACCAGAGGCTCAGAAATGAATGTCTGTCCTGCAATGAGAGTGAGGTAGCTGAGTCACTCACCAAATTCAGAGTTCCCCGTGCTTTGGATGTTAAAGGTTAAATATATCTCACTTTCTCTGTTAATTAAAAACAAGGACAGGAAGCAAAAGGGAGGTCACCTATTAGGAAAGTGTTTGCAGGGGCCCTAACTAGTTAACCCTGGATGTGGCAGCTTCTATGACCCTGGGTTGGCAGAGACCTTGGAAAAAAGATAATATGGAAGAAAAAGCAAGAGGGTCTCTGAATCCAGGAATATCCCATTATTTGGCAGATTTCCCTTGCTCTCTGCTGGGATTAGCCTGTGACAATCCCAGAATAGCCCACAACCCAGCTACATCCCTGGCAGGCAGTGCCTGGCTGAGTGAGGCTGTATTTTGGGTTTGGTTATGTCAGTTGTACCACTTCACCTTCCAGAACCATCCCTTTAGATGTGGAGTACCCTTGGTGAATGCTTTGGGGCTGGCCCAGGGTGAATCTGTGTTAGAGGGAGGTAGGAAAGGTCATCCTAGAATGTTGATGGGACCACAGAGCAAATGATGAAGGAGGGAAGGCAGAGGCCAGGGGGACTCTTACACATGGGTGACCTGTTTTTCTTTTCACAGGAGCTGCTTATCCTCTCTTCAGAGGGAAAAGATGACGGGTAACTGCAGGGATGGGGGGGGGAGGTGCAAATTACACAAGACAATAGAACCAGCTTCTTTGGAAAGGACCTAAGGGTGGAAAAGAGGAAGTCTTGGACAAAAGGAGAGAGTATACTGAAGAGAATCTTTAGGTAACTGAGTTCAAGATCAGCTCTGAAACTCTGGTTCTGATCCTCCCATTATCTCAGAGTGGCACCATTGACCGCTCATTCTTTCATTCATCCATCCAAGCGCTTGTATCATGCTGCTGGGAACCCAGGAGGCACAAGAGGAAGAACACATTAGCTCAATCCTAAGAGAGTTGAAAATCAAATTTGAGATACTCCTCTATTGCTAATGTAATCCCATCTACTGTGCTATCATAGATGCAGCCTCATGCTGTGAAAGGAAATGCCATGTCAAGGAAATAACAGCAAGTTCACAAGAGGAGGGGAGAAGGGGAGTGGATGCAAGGAGGAGAATGCATTCACTGAACAAAAAAGAGAGAGAGAAACGAGAGTCTGACTTGATTGAAAGTGACCCGCTGGTGTCACTTGTTTGGGGGTGACTGAGCACTTACCACACTGCACACTGCATTGTAATAGTCTCCATACTTGTTTGTCCCCCCTAGTAGGCTGTAAGCTCCCCAAGGCAGAGAAAACAACCTACTCATCCTTCTAATCCCAAAATTCAACACAAAACCTGGTGTTTAACGGGCTCTCAAAATCTATGTGTTCAGCTATCACAGGGGCTGGGGAGAAAGGAGAATGGAGCCTATGATGAGCAGATTGAGCATACAACCGGGATTGTGTACCCAGTTGAGGAGTCTGGAAGTGAAAATGGTAGTAGGGTTTTTAGAAGCCCAATACAATAGTAAGAAAAGTGGGAAACCTCAGTAGAAGCAGGGAAGAGAGAATGGAATGAAGTCAGATTTCTTCCCCTCAGGGAGCCAAGCAAGATGGACACAGAAGCAACAGCAGGAGCTGCAGCAGAATGGTACAAAGGTAATAACAGGTCTTTTCCACCCTTTGGTGGGGGTGGCTGCTCTGACAGGGATCCCACCACCCAGCCTTTTTACTCTGGAGCAGAAACATCTCAGTCATTGGTAAAACTAGTTGGCACTGACTCTCCTGCTTTACTCCACAAAGGAGCAAAGCAAGAGACTCCAGTCTACCTGACCCTGCACTGGAGGTGAGGGCAAAACCAAGGCAAGGATCTCCCTTAACGCTGTCCATTCCTTGCAGGGCCATGACACAGCAAGACATACCTATGAGGTGGTGTTAAAGCATCCCGTGTCTCAAGGGAGGAGTCAAGACCTCAGTTCGGAGAGCAGCTTACATTATGCAGACATTCAAGTGTGCAGTCGGCCCCAGCCACACTCTGCCCAGCGTGTGAAGCACCAGCAGTCAGAAAACAGGACAGAGTATGCCACCCTTCGCTTCCCCCAGGCCACACGCCGCTATGACAGCAAGAACGGGACACTCGTGTGAGCTGTGGGCAGGAGGGGCCTGTCTCCATTTCACCACTACTTCTGAAGGGAGAATCTACTGCTGTGAACTGGGTGGCAGCCTGGGGATGGTGGCTGGCCACATTTTAAATTTAAAGAACTCAGGAGTCCTTGGAATTATGTGCCCCCAAGCTTGCTCTCTTTCCTAAACCTGTCTTTTATTTGCCCCCTGTTCTTTATCTTGGGGTTGTATTTGGGTTAGCCAGAGGGGGATGGAATTCCACATAAAGGGGGTTAGGTTGAATGTGCAGGAAGGTAGGTTTGAGGCCCCCTACCTTTGCTTCTGCTTGAAAGAAAAGTACAGAAAGAACAGGTTACACCTTTAACACTTGAACTGATCTTGTTGGACTTAATAGGCTCTCTTTCACGCATTTTAATTCTAAAGCTGAAGAAGAGGTGTTGTGGAAAAGCTTTCTAAACTTTCACACTGCCCCCTGTGCTGGTATGAGCAAAATATCCTCAGTGGCTAGGCCAAGGTCCCAGATCTAAACAGACAAAAATGAGGCATGGTGGACATTTTCTATCGTAGCAAGGACTTTAGGTCACTGTTACAGCACTGAGAGCCCCAGAAACGCGCCTTGGCTGGTCTGTTGGCTTTCACCAGTGCGGAGCCGCTAGGATCAATAATCCTGTAAGAATTGTCTGGTGCGTTTCCTGGGGTGGGCCTCTGTGCTCCCTAAGCAAGCGCGAGCAGGCCTCACCTGGCCCACCGGCCTTTGGGAAATCAGCCAGCCTGGAGGCCTCGGTGCCCCAGTCTGCCTGCCGGGGCTGGGGTGGATCACGAGCGTAGTTTGGACCTGCAGGAGGCGGACTACCACGTGCAGAAGGGTCCCGACCAGCTAGAGGCGGACCGGCCGGGGCAGGGGGCGGAGCCAGGACTGGCCGGGACAGTGCATTGGGCCGTTAGGAGGCGGGTCTGGACGGTAGGGGGTGGGACCCTTGCTGGTAGAGGCGGGGCCAGGGCCAGCAGGGGCGGGGTCCGGGCCACCGAGACAGGCTCCAGCCGGCTGGAGGCTGGCCAGGCCCTGCTGGCCTCCGCGTCACCATGGCAGCGGGAACGCAGCGACGCTGTAGCAGCTGGATGCCCAGCCCCGAAGGGCCGAGAACAGAGATGTTGAAACCGACGGACCCCTGATTTAAGAGGTAGGGACTGAAAGGTGGCGGGTACCTGGGACGTAGTATTAGCATCGATTGAGCGGCCAGATCAGAACTGGGGACACACGGAAAGTCGAAGGTGACATGAGTAGAAGGAGGCGGGCAGTCTCAGGTTCCGAACACGCTTTGAGCCTCTATAGATTCTTGGAGGTGTAGACTTGCAAAGCTTGGAGATAGGTAAAGCATTTCCCTTCCTCAAACTGAGCACTATCCTCCCCAAAGACTGGTGGCCCTCTCTTTGTCCCTAAAAGGGATGGATGATTCCTTAAGATGGTTAGAATACTGAAAATGGAACCGTAGCACACACAAAAATGTTGATAATGATTGTAGCAACTTCAAAGAGTATGAGGATTAAAATGCCTGGAGCAGTATGTGGTCACTGTTGGCTGCCATTACTACCATCATCGTCATAGTCATCACTATTTCCTGGCCTGTTCTTTGGAACAACCTAGTGCAAGTGGATCCAGAAGAAGGACCAGAGAATGCCGCCTTCACCACTAATTGGCAGAGAAGTGCCCTCACCTATTTCCTATTAGGTAGGAGTAATAAAAATAACTATTTCTAGGCCTTATTTACTGATGGCCAAATAAGCTGATGTAGCTGATAGCACTTTGCAAATTTAAAGTGCTACATAAAATTTTCCACAATAGAAGAGAAATGCTGCTTTTCTAGGTTAAAGGTGAGTTCCTGAGTATGAAGAAAAGTGGGTTTGAGAAGCAGATCTTTCCCTGTTCTCTCTCCATTGTCTTCAGAATCCTTCCTTATAATGTCTTTGATAAATGCTGGGAGGAGGGAACATTTATCCTTGTTTGGCTAGTGAGAGGAGGCATTGCTTTTTATTTGTATTAAAACTAATGACTAGTTTTAAAAATACCAGTGGGGTGATCCTGTTGTGATTATTATCTTGGTATGAATTTCCTGCCAATCAGGGTCCTGCTTTCGACATTTCTAGATAAGTTAGTAGGTTTGGGACAAGGGCCTGACCCTATAGATAGGTTTAGTTTTGGGACTTTTTTCCCCCTATCCTGTATTTTTGCACATTTCTTCATCTTCTATTTTAAGGTGGCCCTCATCCAGCTCTTCTAGGGACTCTGAAGATGGGGACCCAAGTGGTTAAGAGACTCTATAACTCTCTGCTGCCAGCACAGCCCTCTGTAAGTTTCTGCGGTACTGTTGAGAATAGTGTGATGACATTGCAGATATTTCAGTATGGCTCTACAACTGGGGAATTTCTTCATCAGGGACAGGATTGTAATGTATTTGCTTTCTTTTCATGCTTCCCCTTCTTGTGGAAATTATAACTCGCTTGATTCACCATCTTTTTCTGGAATTAATAAAATCAGGCAGAGGATGAAGAATTCTAGCAATTAATCAGAACATTTGCATTATATAAAAGTGTTAAATAAAGTTCGTTATAGAAATAATGCACAATAATTACAGAGCATTTGACAAATATTTCAAAGCATGAAAAAAACCCATTGTCCTTTTCTATCCACAAGCAATCACTGTTAATATTTTAGAATATTTTCTTTTAAGTCTTTTTGTAGCTATATATTTTAGAAGCTTTTTGAATTAAAAATTTTTGACTTTCTTTTTTAACATAATATTTATTAATATGAAATGGTTAAAATATTTCTTTTAATATGGGTACAAATGTTTGGTAAACATTATAATGATTGTACTTTTCATGACCATTGCTCTGTGGTGGGACTTTTAGTTTCCCCTCCCTCCATGGTAAATAATTAATTAATTCCCTAATTTGTAACTTTTCTCTTCGGGTTGAGTCCCAAAAGTGGAATCCCTAGATCAAAGGATGTGAACATTTTAAGTAATAAATTACCTGTTAAAAGGTATCAGATTTTGTACACAACCTTTTAAAAGAGAGAGGGATGCCAGTTGGGAGATATAGAAGTCCTTGGTAGTAATTTGGCTACTTCCTGCAGCCAGTCCCTGAGCCCTGCTGAAAAATTATTGAACAAAACGTCATCAGAGAGTCCTAACACATTGTGCATGGAGGCAGTTGCATTGTTTTCCTTGTAGAGAAACTCAAGGGTCATTTCAAAAATACCCACCAGATGGCACTAGTCTTAATAGAATTTTTACCCATAGGCTAACTGGCAGATAACTTTTGATATGTACATTTTAAAAATTCATGAAGAGTATATTTGCATATCTGCTTTGGCTCAGTTTATATTAAGCACAAGCATCTGGTGATTACTTTGGCCTCTTCCAAATCTAGTCTCTCACCATTTTGTTTCTTTTTTCTTTTTTCTACCCACTCAGTCTGTCACACTCATCCTATACATTCTGTACCCACATGCTAATATTAGATCTTCAATTTTACTAGTTTTACTATTCTTTCTTTCTGACTTGTTTCTTGTGTGTGCGTTTGTGAGTTCTTGAGGTTTTTACTAAAAAATATGGGCCAGGTTATATGATGACATACAGTAGGCACTCAATGTATGTTTAATGAATGTTTAATGAAATAAAGTATTGATGGAGAGGAAACTACAGAGGGATACTAAAAATTATTTATACTTATCTTGGAAAGACAATAAAAGAGACAGAGTCCCATTTTTTAAAAATTACTATAATTAAATGTTAAATGACAGAGAGCTTACTGTGATCTTTGAATTTTCAAGGAAGATGCATTTATTTATTCAGACAGTATCTATTGAGCATCTACTATGTGCCAGGAAATATTCTTGGTTCTGGAGATAAACCAGGAACACAGCATTGAAAATTCCCTGCCTCATGGAGTTCACAGTTTGGACATGAAGAGGTAGACAACAAACAAATAATGAAGCAAATGTAAATACACAAGATGTGATGAATACTATGAAAAAAAGTGAAAGTAAGTCAGGCAAAGAGGTTTGAGAGTACCAGGGTGAAAGGGGTGTTGTTATTTTAAGTAGAGAGGTCTGAGAAAGCCAACGGACAAACTGACAGTTCAGCAAAGACCTGGAGGAGCAGGAGCAAGCCAGGGGTGCTCTGGGGAGGTGAGTGCTACAGATAGCTTAAGAGCAGGTCGGTCTGGACTGTAGCAAAATCAAGAATGGTGAGAGGAATTTCATGAGAAAGTGGGGCTTGAACCAGGCATAATAAAGACTGAGCTGTAGAAGTGTGGGGTGTCTAGGCAGAGGGACAGCAGTGAAGGCACAGAGGGTGAAAATGAAATTTCTATATCTTTAGACAGTGAGGAACCTGCTAACCTGAGCAAAGGTGATTTGAAGGTGAGGCCTGAGGCATCAGCAATTTTTATCTGACACTAGTGTTTGAAGACATTTGCGCAATTGAGCAGCGAGATGAGTGTATTGTCTATGGAAGATGAAGGGGAGCAGACTGGCAGAAGAGACTGGAGATTAAAAGAGCAGTTTTGGAGACAGTTTTGGAGACAGGAAGGTTTGGCACCTTTGCCAGCAGATGTGAGCCTTTTCGCGTTATTTATGCTAATGTCTGTGAAGATAAATGTAATGGAAATCGCAAATTCGTGTTCCTGCCAAGGAACATTGCTAAGGTAAAAAAATAGAAAAAAGATCAAGAAATTATTTCAGAATCATTTAAAAAATCTGCATTGACAAATGTTTTTATTGAAATCACCTTTCTGCTTCAGTGTCATTAACGATTGCCCATAATAGATGTGTTGGCTTTTACATTGGTGTGAATTTCACACATCTTCCTTCCACACAGAGAGAGTCGCTGTCAATATTTTCACTACATGACAATTCTGTTGAAGGCTCCAAGTCCTACTTAGGCTAATATGTTATTATCTGTATTAACAGAAGTGATGAATGAGCTTGCTAATGTTTCCTCCACTGGCTCATTCATTCATTCAACTGAAAACATTTACTGGGTGCCTTCTCTATGGCAAATAAAAGGAATTGTGTAATGACTAAGAACCTGGACTTTGGCACTGTTTAGTAACTTTAGAGCCTAGAGCAAATTACTTATCTTCCTAACCTGTCTTTCTTCACATATAAAACGAGGACAATTAAAACACCCTGCTGTTTATGGCAATTGTGACCATCAAATGAGCTAAAGTATATAAGTGTAAGTTTGCCACGTGCCAAGTACAGGACTTGGCACGGGGTAAAAGATAAATTTTGCTGTTATTACTATTATGTGTAGCTATTTGGATAGCTTTTAGTTAATGAGGGAAGGAGCTGCAGTTGTTGCTAATATTGATATAATACAGGGCTGAAGGGGCCTATCAGAAATCAGGCAGCGTGGTGGAGAGGTAGAGAGAGCAGCTTGGTTACTCTGCCTCTTCTTCCAGGCAGTGAATGAAAGGGCTACAGTGGTGGTAGTGGTTTGCAGGTTTCCCAAGTTCCAGCATCATCCTAGTTATTCCTAGTTCTTTCATTAACCCACT